TATATATATATATATATATAGTCGCTTTGCTGTATAAGTCACAGACAGACTAATTTATGCAAAAAGGTGCAACTTATACAGCAAAAATTATGGTAGTGCAAATAGCAGAATGATGCTTTTAAAAAAAAAAAAAACACAAGTTGAATAAAATGAGAATGGAGGTCAAGAAGTGAACATCTTACAATGCACAGATGGTGTTTCTGTGCAAACTGACACCCAGAGCTGGAAAACCATGAAACAGGGAGCTGGAAGACTTTGGACTGCATAAATCAGCCCCGTCACAGTTAGTTTTTTTTACACGCTGACCTACAGAAGTCTGTGGCTGCTCTGTGTATTTTACTGCTAACAACTAAAGACTGTTCTGGAGCACACTGTAGAAAAGGTCTGGATTAAAAGTCATGAAAAATGCACATTAGAACTTCTAATTACTGACACGCTCTGTTCTCTTTTAGTTTGATTGTGTCATTTCTCATTTCTGTCGGCCTTCTCAGTATTTTTCCAGTCAGCCTTCACCTGTCCCCAGTCAGCGATCAGCCCAGGTGTTGTTTTTTTTTTCTTCCCTCGTTAGTTTTTCTTTAAAAACTGTGTCAGTTTGTTTGTCTCTTGTCTGTTATGCTTTCACGCTGTTCACGTTGGTTAAATGTGCGAGTATTTCCTGTAGTTTTCAGTTTTGAGTTTTTGCGCTGCCTCGTCAGCCTTTAGTTTTGCCTTGTTGCAAATAAATGAGTTTGAACATAAGATAAATGACAAGAACTAAGCACTGCCATTATCTATATAAAAGGGACAAACGTATTTAGAGAGGAAAGTGTCATCCATCCATCCATCCATTATCTTTACCCGCTTATTCCATTTTGGGTCACGGGGGTCGCTGGTGCCCATGTCCAGCAATCACTGTGCGAGGGGCGGGGTACACCCTGGATGGGTCGCAAGTCCATCACAAAGGAAAGTGTCAAAAGGAAGCATAAGTTATTTTATTTATTTGTGGATATTTGAAAGAGCAGAGGTTTGCTGGACATTTGTGGACTTGGAAAAGTTTTTTTCACAGAGTCCCACGAGAGCCGGTTTACTGGAGCCTCAGACAGAAAGGCATTATGGAGAAGCTAGTTGGGATTGTTAGTTCCATGTACAAAGGTGTTAAACAACAGTCAGAACTGGTAAAGGCAACACAACGGCATTTGAGATTAAAGTTGGCGTTCATCAAGGTTCATGTCTCAGCCCACTGTTGCTTATTGTTATGATGGACGCAGTCGTTGCGTTGGTTGCTGTTGTTATGTCATATTGTTTTACATTATTAGTGATTAGCATATATACACTACCAGCCTGATAA